GGTGGGGCTGGAGCAGGTGGAGCTTGGACTGGGTGGGAGGGAGGAAGACGGGGGATAATGGGGGTTGGGCTCGGAGCCCTGCTACTTCTTGCCCCACCCGTCTCGGGATCCTAGGATGCATCTGCCTCTCCTGGTCTCAGTCTTGGGGGCCTCATCCTACCCCTAATGACTCCGCCCTCCCCCACCACCCTGGGCTCCTCTCTGACATCCCCTCCTCTCCTGCCCCTTCAACTTGTGGGCCCTGGAGACCCTCCCGGGACAGGTCCTGCCTGTATTCGAGTGGCTGGACAGTGGGGGACCCGCAAGGAGGGCGCAGATAGGGAAAGGTCCAGACCAGGCAGGGGGCCACACGCTGGGCTCCCGTCCCTCCCAGGTCTCGGTGCAGGCCACGTGCGCCACCCTGACCGCCATGAGCGTGGACCGCTGGTACGTGACTGTGTTCCCGCTGCGCGCCCTGCACCGCCGCACGCCCCACCTGGCGCTGGCTGTCAGCCTTAGTATCTGGGCGGGTGAGTGCAGCGCGGAGGCCGCACGGGGTAGGGGGGACAAGTTTTCGTGCCCTGGGCTCACACTCCACACACGCACTCACTGCATCTCCCCGGACCTCGCTCCTGCATCTGGGAAATGGACGCAATGGCCTTCCCTGCGAGGGCTACTGAGGGCGCGGAACCGGGCAGACGCGCGCCTAGGAGGCGCTCAATGTCCGTTGCCCTAACCCTAACCCTAACCGGGGTTAGAGGCACCGGGGAGACCAGGGCCCGGGCCCCCTCGCGCCCCTCGTCCCCCGGGCCAGGTCTTCAGCCGGGCCTGTGATGCAGGCTCCGCGGCCGTGTCCGCGCCAGTTCTCGCCCTACATCGCCTCTCGCCCGGACCGCGCACCTACTGCAGCGAGGCCTTCCCCAGCCGCTCCTTCGAGCGCGCCTTCGCGCTCTACAACCTGCTGGCGCTCTACCTGCTGCCGCTGGTCGCCACCTGCGCCTGCTACGGGGCCATGCTGCGCCACCTGGGCCGGTCCGCCGTGCGCCCCGCGCCCGGCGACAGCGCCCTGCAGGTGCGCGGCGGGGTGGATTGGGGGAGCGGCCGGGCAGGGGATGGGGGGATGGCACAGTAGGGGGGAGTGAGGTGCATTTG